CTAAAATTATGCCACAGATGGCATTTCAACCTACTCCTATGAATACTTTTTTCCATAAAGACATGGATCTGTTTTTTTTTTTTTTTTTTTTTTTTTTTTTTTTTTTTTTTTTTTTTTTTTTTTTTTTTTTTATTGTTACTCTCTCTAAACATCGTGATCACATTACTCCTTTACTAAAAGATCTACACTGGCTCCCTGTTCGTCAACGTATTAATTACAAGATTCTTCTACTTACCTTCAAAACACTACATGGTCTTACTCCGTCTTACATTTCTGAACTGATATCTATATACAAATTAACTAAAAGAACACTCTGGCCCTCTAAAGAACTACTCCTATCTGTTAAACCTTACTCCATGAAAACATATGGCTCTCGCTATTTCTCTGTTGCTGCCCCTACTTTATGGAACTCTCTCCCATCTGATTTAAGAAACATTGACTCTTTGCTGTCCTTTAAGAAAGAACTTAAAACTTATTTGTTTAGTTTAGCTTTTAGAGTTTAATTTGTTTGTTAGTTATATCAGAGCGCATAGAACAGACTTGTATATGTGCTATACAAGTTTTCATTATTATTATTTTGTTATTATCATTATCACTTTAGAATAGGTTGTACAGTATTTCTAGTGGTAGTGAACATTCTTGTCTATCTTGTCTGTCTTGTGAACCTTGTGAAGGCAAAGTGGCAAACTATGTAGTACTTCTTTTCAGAACAAATACAAACTGCTGCAAATCATTCATGGTGATACTGAGTTACAATGAGTTTCAATATATGTTCTTATTCCTTGTTTCAGAAAGAACCCAAGAATGTGGACACTCTCAGTCATGCTGGATTCACAAAAACTGTAAGTTTCAAGTCTTTAGGAATTTCTAATATGCCATGCATTTCACCCACCCACCCAATTAGAAAAAAGGTAAGGAAAAAACAAAGGAAAGACCAAAGAGATGAAAAAGTCTGTTTTTGCTGGAGGCTAGGCCCATTGAATTGGAGAGGCGGGTTTGTAGTACGTATTCCATATATGGCACAAACTAACAAGCGAATAGAAGCACCTAACAAGCGAATAGAAGCACCTATCAAGCAAACAGGGTCTATACTTTTTTTCACTTGTATATTTTTCTACAGTTTTTTATCGAGCTTTTTAGCTACGCCTTAACTTAT